CCCCCGCCTGGTGTTTTAATTCAAAAGGAGAATGTGTGATTGTAAACAAGCATTTATCCTGTTGCACAGGGTCTGAACGATCGCTTCGCCATGTTCATCGATAAAGTGCGTCACCTGGAGCAGCAGAATAAAGTGCTGGAGACGGAGCTGGTGACCCTGCGGCAGAAGCAAGGCGAGCCGTCCCGCATCGCTCACCTCTACCAGCAGGAGATGAGGGACCTGCGGTCGCAGCTGGACGACCTGAGCAGGGAAAGGAACCATATTCTGATCGAGAGGAACAACATAGAGGACGAGCTCCAGGTAAAACCACTGGGCAGTGATGATGTACTGTATGATGCATGTGAGGAATCATCATCTTCATCATCTCATTTCTCGAATCAGACGGAGCTGTGGAGTTGAGTGGATACTTGTCCATTAACTCACCTCTCTCTCATTTCACTATCAGAAACTCAACGTGAAGTTTGATGAGGAGGTGAGCGCACGGGAGGAAGCAGAGCAGACCTTGAAGTCTTTCAGGAAGGACGTGGATGACGCTGCAGTCATTCGCTTGGACCTGGAACGCCGGGTGGAGTCGCTGACGGATGAAATCTCCTTCCTGAAGAAGGTGCACGACGAGGAGATCCAGGAGCTGAGCAGCTTGATGGAGTCGCAGCAGGTCTCCGTGGAGCTGGAGCTCGCCAAACCGGACCTCACCTCGGCTCTGAAGGAGATCCGCAACCAGTACGAGTCCATCGCCTCCAGGAACCTGCACTCGGCCGAGGAGTGGTACAAGAGCAAGTTTGCCAGCCTCAACGAGCAGGCGACCAGGAGCAACGAGGCCATGAGGGCGAGCAGGGAGGAGATCAACGAGTTCAGGAGGCAGCTGCAGTCCAAGACCATCGAGATCGAGACGCTGAGGGGCACCAACGAGTCTCTGGAGAGGCAGATAGCAGAGATGGAGGATGGACACAACGCTGAAGTCTCAGCCATGCAGGCAAGCAATTACAACCATTCAAAACTACAGCGACCCTACAGCAGGGGTCCCCAACCTTTTTGAAACTGAGAGCTACTTCATGGGTACTGAGTCATAGGAAGGGCTACCAGTTTGATACACTCTTCTGAAATAACACATTTGCTTGGTTTGCCTTTAGTTATGTATTATTATTAATGATAAATGATACTCATCTATGTGAAGACACTGATCACGTTCATGATTTCTCACAATAATTATCAACAATGACTTAACAAGGTGGGAAACAGATAATATCAATATTCAACTCTTTATTTCTATTAATCTCAACATTTCAGATGATCACTTCTACAACATTTCATAATAAAAACATTTTCACTAGCCACTGACAAACCTTTTAACAAATCATAGTCAATAGTCAACTTCAATATGAGAAGGGGGGTGGAAGAAAGCCATTCGCTCTTAGTCACCTGCTTCCACGCTGCATGGAGGTCAGTTCTGTCTGTAGAGTAAGAGGATTGGAAGCGGGCAGATCTCATGGTCCTGAGTTATGTCACAGCTTGAGTAAAGCTGTTTGCTAACTGCACACAGCAGGCGGTCCCAAACTTTACAATGTCAAGTCTAAGTAGGAGCAAGGGAATCAACATACTGGCCATGTTATCATTAAAACAATCAATCGTACTCCCTGTGATTGCAGTTCTTCTGCTGACCTCCTAGATAGCAGAGGTTTGGGCCACTAATGAAATTGCAATAAAGGCTGTTTGTTGAAGAGTTGACGGATCAAAATGCTGAAGGAGAAACTGTGAAATCAAAGATATTTGAGTGTAATCCTGCTATAATTACCACTCAGTCACATGGACAAGTAGTTTAATAACTGCTTGTTGGTTTGATGAATTTGATGAATTCCTCTTAATCTCAGTATCTAAAGCTGTAGATGATAAGGTTGATCCCACTCTCTTGTCTGTATGATAAATAAATATGAAGCTACAGACAGGAGCTCTGCTACACATAAAG